GCTTGCTCAGAAGCAGCAAACTCAGGGCATAAAAGAGCCCTTTCAGTAAACATCTTGGTGATCTCTGTCACCGTCTCAGTCGTTTGTCTCAGATCCAAGTACTCCTGAGCTAACCTCTCCCTCTCCACCAAGGGAACGTATCTCGCACAGAACATCCCCGAGAACTGCTCCCATGTAACAACAACTCTCTACTTAGGAGTGTAAGTACCAGTCACCAGTCTCCACCAATCCTTCGCCCCTAACCGTAGAAGGTTCATGGCGCACTTGACCTTCTGGAGCAAGGCAAGAACATGTGAATAAACAACCCTCCACATCAGACAGCCACATCAGACACGATCGGGTCCCTGATCCCATCAAACTGCGAGGCTTCGTATTGTCGAAGTCCTGGTATTGGAAATATCTCTCCCCTCGAATCGACGTAGCAGACACAGTCACTGTAGCTGCAGAACAACAGCCTTAGAAAGAGCAACATATTGATCATTAAAGAGCTCAATCATAGCGGTCTTGATGTAACTAAACATCTCTGGCATAGACCTCCAGACAGTAGCAGCCACCTCAGTGGCGATGATCTCCCGAATCTGATCATCAGACAATCCTGGCCTATCCTGGCCACCCGCTCCAGATCTTGATCCTCTCGTCTCCACCATGCTGAAATTAAACCAAGACACATCAGAAAATCCACAACACACATTGATACAATCACAAAACGAGGTTAAACCCTTGGGGTTTGTGACTTCCTTGCTATGCATACAGGTCATGTGCTTTCAGTAGTACAGGCCTATACTACCTTCCACACCTACTCGTATTTGTCTCAAGGATCATCATAACCACCCAAAATAAATATAACAACTAGGATCCGCATACATCCTATCCTCACTTTATCGAGAATGGCTAAACATTCCTCATCAGGGCGGCTGCTCACACACATACTCACTCATGAAACTTCCACCAACCCCGCAGCCACTCGTGCATGCTAATCATACATAACACTGGATCCTATAGATAGTTAAATACTTGATTCTACCCTAAGCCCACAACCAGACAAGGAACTAGAAATAAGGCTAAACCAAACATTCTCAGGCTATACGATCTTAGTTATGTACAACTATGATGCATACACTAAGCAACTACAGTAAGGATGTTAATTCCATACAAGAAGCACTCCTAGGCTATCAGACATCATACATCAGGAAATTCTATCATGCAATTCCTGAAGATCCCTAGCCTACCACTATCATGCAGTTCTACCATAAACATCATATCAAATAACAGTTTGGGTAACTTGGGGTATACTTTCTTGCTCCGTCTGATCGTACACATCACATCCTTCCTTGGCTACTTTTGAAAACCATTTTTAAAACTTTACAGTTCCTTAGTTTGAGTCTGGATTCAAATGAATGTTTATCCAATTCTCTTAAACCAATGCTTTGATACCAACTTGTAACATCCCGAAAATCACAGAAAATTAAACTTTTCAAAAAACAACCCAATAACCATAATTGTTTACAAAACCATTGTTTCAAAAGTGTAAGTCATAAATCAGAGTATCCCAAAATCCAATAACATAAAAATCTGAAGGAATGTGCACGATTACGCCTTTGCTTTCCCCCATCCTCTGAAGTACTTGAAACAACAAACTGAAATTATAAGCCAACTCTTAGTGAGTTCCCTCAAGGTACCACCACACAACATAACTAACAACCGCATGCATACATGAGCCTTCAACATGACTAGACCGCCTCGCAGGCTTACAAACTACAGGGTTCGGTTCCGGTCAGGACTCACAAAATGGTGAGGACTGCGAGGACAATTCTCCACCACCCATTTCGTCAAGGGCACAAACGTCAAACCCAAATATTTGGTCGTGTTGCGTTCGCATACGACCCACGTCCGTGGTAACTAATACAGACTCGATGATTTAATCTCGTGCGGCGAACGTCCATGGAACGTCATTTAAGTGGGTTTTATTATTTATTTTCGTTTATTTTTGTTTATTATTATTATTATTATTATTATTATTATTATTATTATTAGTAGTATTATGTTGTTAAAAAAATTCAAAAAAAAGTAAATAGATATATGCTCGGTTTTAACGTTTTTAACTTTTTTTCATTTTTTTTTAGTTTTTTTTTGTTTTTAAATATTTTTACTACATACTTGAAGGTAGATTTTTTTGTTTTTTTGTTTTTTTTTATTTTTTAAACTAAATATCGGTTTGAGTTTTTAATGTTTAACAATAATAAAATTTTAAATAAGAAGAATATTAAAGATCATAATATTTTATTTTCCGTTCATACTTTTTTTGAATCATATTATTTTTGGATTATAAAATTTTAAATCAAATTATTTTGAATTGTAGTATATCAAATCAAATCATTTTTGAATCATATGATTTTGGATCAATAATATATTCAATTAAATATAGTTTTTGTTCAAAAAAAAATTATGGATTGTTATATATTTTGAATTATTTAATTTTAAATCATAAAAGATATAATTAAGGATTATAAAATATTTGATTCTATGTATTTTTAGATCATAACAAATTAAAGATCATAAACAAATTGAATCAAAAGTTTTTTTTGAATCATAAATATTTTGAATCGTCACATTTTGGATCACATTACGACGCTGGAGGTGTTTTTTTTTTACCCATTTAACCTCCAAACAATTAACATTTGCCGGAAAATGTCAAAATCTCGCACATAATTACAAAAACGTCTCATCATCTCGCGAGATATTGACGATAAATAAAATCAAATCTCCACTTTTTATTTTTTTCAATCCTACGGCAAAGATTTGTCATTGCAATCCTCACTTATTTTTAAGTCTTCACTCGATCCAACTTGTGTGTGTGTGTGTATATATATATATATATATATATATATA